CTACTCTCTCTACTCTCTCTCTCTCTCTCTCTCTCTCTCTCTCTCTCTCTCTCTCTCTCTCTCTCTCTCTGAAATACAAGAGAAAACGCGGTAGCCGGTTGTTGAAATCGAAGATACCATACGGGAGAGAAGACCGAGACTGAAATTATATATGTGCCAAACAAAATAAAGAAAGAAAGAGAGAAAGAGGTATATAAAAAGGTGTAACCGCCGGGGGCCAACGGAGAGAAAGAAAGGGAGAGAAAGAAAGGGAGAGAAAGAAAGAGAGAGAAATCCCATGAGATCGTCCAAGGAACAGGACGGGAATAAGGGACGAGGAACAGAAAAGGAACAAAGAAAACTTTCCTGATCCCTCTCCTGCACGTCACCAAGAATGCCAGCCATCTGGCATCATGCCGTGATTCCCTACGACGACTATGAATGTCTGCCGGACTGTGCACAGTGGAATGGCGCCTACCATTCGAAACTCTATTCCATGGGAGTCCCATATGCCCTTTTGCCGCATCATCATTTTTCCCATCATTGACGTATTCTATTATCAATGTTACCGAAGTGTCGAAGTGGTCAAGTACAACGCTCTATACACGATGTTTTACTTGTAATAATTTTCGTGTATTTTGAACTTTTTAAAAATATTTGCATACTCTTATTATTGTTCGAAAGGATTATTTAATACGATGTAAATCATAAAAAGTAAACATGGCAATTGAGAAACACTGCTATAAGCGAAGGATGAAACGATCGACCAATGTGATAGTAAACAGCCGTAAAGAACAGTAGTAAGATAAGTCAAGGATTTTAATGAGGGAATTGCTTGCTACTTCCATACAATCGAAAGTAACAGTTTTTCTTTGTCAATCTTCTTATTAAGCTTTTTAACAATTTTTATTTTTCAGCATCGTTAATATGAGAATGATGAGATAATGCACAAGAGTACTGATTTGAAATGTAAATATCGATATGATAATTTCATGTCTTTTTTAAATGTTAAATAATGGATTGTTAAATAATAAAATTCAATTATTTGGAATTTTTACTCGCTTAGACAAAACAAAAATATCATATTGGATATTAATAAGATATATTAATAAGATATATTAATATATATATAAATAAGATATATTAATAAGATTATATTAATAAGACAAGATATGTAAAATTTTTCATCTGGATAGCGTTTCTAGGATTTATGAGTTTTAAAAATATATATTTCCATACGTCATCAAAGCACGAAAGAAACGTGCTTAAAATATTGTAGAAATAAAATCAATATTATTCAAAATAGATATTCAAAATATGTTTTACATTTGTAACATGTGTAATAAAAGTCGAATTTTTTGCTCATTAAATTCAGAATATATCAATCACACATATAAAAATTTACAAAATCTTGAATATCAATCACATTGAATCTTAACAATTACATGTACAAATAGTATAATACAAAGTTTTTTAACATATAGTCTTAAAAATTATGTAGCATATTAAATTGAAAAGAGTAATAAATCTTTAAAGAAAAATAATAATTTTAACAAATTTTATAAAAAATCGATGATATATTAACTCATATTTATCCGTAAATTATGTGTACATACAAAGAAAAATTTCTTCCAAAATTTCATTCAAAATTTTTCAAAACTTATATCATTTTCGAATAGTATCGAAAATATGTGCACATTCATTTTTCACGATAATGACTATATAAGTTATGCGAGAGTTGAATCTACGGTGAAAAGGAGAGTTTTTTTGCACATATTTGTACCTAAAAACCAATCGACAGCATTAGTGTAGAAATATATACATTTTTTATCGTTTTTAATGTAAACCTAATACAATACTTGAAAATCAATTGAGACAATTCTGAATATTTTATGATGCATTTGATCGAAAGTAGGTTGCATGAAAACTCATTAATATCCATATTACAATAATATCATCCTCATTGATAAGGCAAGGAACATTACGAGTAAAAGAAACTTTTACATAAAAAAAAATTACAATCTTTACGATTATTCAGTTACAGTTTACTTATAACTACTTCACTTCTTTGGTAATGTAATATAACTGTCTTACTGCAAATTATCTCCATTTAATAATTACTATAATTTCGATTTTCACTTAATATCTATACGCGTCAGCGAACATTTTTTTGTGCTCAAATATATACGTATAACTTTCTTTGCAAGCTATCATTTTACACAAGTAATATTTAGATCCTGCGATATTATACTCTTGACAAGCTCCCTATAAACGTTTTTATACAAACGCTTCGAATCGAAAATATCAATTAATCGGCGGCGATCTCAGACTTGAAGCTGCGGGTCAAAGATCAGTAACGGAAGTAAGTTCCTTCTTTCGTCTCCTATCTCTTTCCATGGTTCTCTTCTCTTGAATAGCCAGCGTTTACGACAGCGTTAACGATACGAGACGATGCGAAGTGACGCGATGCGACGCGACGCGACATACACTCTTTGTACGTGCTGCATGCACGTAATACGCATCAACGCACCGAACAAAACAAACTCGCAAAATTACACTTAAGGCCGATGAGATAACCTAGAATGCTAAGCTCCCTATACGTACAGACTTTACAAAGAATCAGAATTATTGATCGTACGAAAAAAAATTACGAAGCCATCGAGTCTGCTTTATGTTGCATGATGAACAGAAAGGGATAATAATGACAAAGTAAATTAGATATTGCTAAATATCTAATTTTCTTGTGGAAACATTCTCTCATTGCTTTCCGCTCATGATTCGAAAAGATTTAAGAGAAATATAATTTTTCATGCGAATAACTTTCTTGAACATACATGCAACGAGTATTGGATTTATTATTGTATTATTATTGTAAAGTCAATAATTTCAGTCTGCTGCATCCGATTCCTATCTATTATTCCTACATTTCCAAATATCTCCATTTACCGAATGACAATAGATAGCAATAGTTGCCCGTTGTTACCAATCCATTGTGGTCCAAGTAATTAATATCCTAAAACTATTACTGCTCAATTCAGGTTACATTGTAGTTACATTGTCAATCAGATTCTCTAAAGCAATATTTTCTTTATTAAGAGATATAAATAAAAACTGTCCTTTAGTTTTCGCTATTTTATTTTAGCTATACAAAACATAGATGTAGATCTATTACTTATTCTTTTTAATTACATTAATTTCAACTCTTTTTCCTATCTTTCTTCAGCATTTATTATCATACAAGCATTACTACTCATAAAATTTATACACGGAGTATTCACGGTGAAGCGAGCTCGGGTCTATAGGGCTCGCTAAGCCCAAATGACTATGGATCAGACATCCCTGCGGGATAAAGTGATAATACACGTATTCTGTACGATGTCTGTACTCATGAACAAGCAACGCCGGCGGCAACGATTGAACATCGCGCACGAAAAAAGAAACACTTTCTTCGTGTAGTATTTTTACGTTAACGCTCGACACGCTCGATATCTTTTATTATGGAAAAGAATTCCAGAATGGAATTTCTCTTAAAATTATGACAATCGATACAGTTTTTTATGCTTTGCATAACCAGCAGAATCGCGCAAATGTTATAATTATTATTATTGTTGCAGGTCACTGTCGCAATTTTAATATCTCATCGTTTCTAATTATGACATCGATTTTTAATGACTTTTAACTTTTAACACTAAACAAACTACTTGAGAGAGATTTCCAATTAGACTTTTAATATTAAATAATTTATAATAATTAAATTAAAGATAAATGTAGTTGAAGATTCTTATTTATGAAAACTGAATTTATAAATATAATACCCAAGTTTTGATAAATATATTACTTATGAGAATTTCAATTTTTTATAAAATATTTATAATTCGCGAATGTTGCGTGACATGTTTTATTATACATAAAATATATAACTCGAATTAGGTCATGTAGATTCCATTCTAACTGTTCTACGACAGTCTACACGTGCCTAGTGCTCGTCGAAAAAAATCGAAACTGAATCGAAGTTGTTTATGAAAATCCACGCGTTAAACTATTGCGTCACGTTTTATCGCTTCTTATTTACAAAGCAAACACATCAAAGTGACATCGAGAGATAGACTAACATTTAAATGGCAAGGAACTTTCGGCAGTTTGGACATAAAAAACGCAGAGAGGAAGAAGAGGAGAAGGAAGGAGAAGGAGGTTTATTCGCGGAATTATTTCTCCTCGAAGACAGGAAGAAAAGACGGGAAGAGTGACATGTGTGACGCATACGAAAGGGAATCGCGAGACTAGTGTTGCAAGACTTACCGGCAATGGCGACGAACAGAAAGAATATCCACGTATCCATGAGTCTGCCGGTCGAGAAGAAGCCACCGCTGCCACCGCTGCCACCGCTGCCACCGCCGCCACCGCCGCCGCCGACGCCACCGTCACCGCCGCCGACGCCGACGCCACTGCTGGCTGGGAAGGCTCGCTTGTCCATCACGCGCCGAGATGCATAGCTGATCTTGACACTCGGGATTACACACCTCCTCCCTCGAATTTCGCGGCAAAGATGCGTACACACCAATCGATCCGCGTCGATACACGCGAATCACTGAAAAATCCTTGGACGACGAACGAGCGCGCGCGCGCGCGCGCGCGCAAATCGTCTCTCACTCAATTTCACTCGTGTCTCGACGGGAAATTTATCGTGCTCCAATGTTCTTCTCTCACATCATATATTCGCACAGTTGCAACGTTCTCGCAACGCGGTAGCTCGCACGCAAGAACAAGGAACGCACGTATGAAAACGAAATGACGGGACGAAGGACGACGACGATGACGCTTTCGGCGGTTGCGCGCACGCCGCCTCCTCGCGCGCTCCCACGACGTGCGCCGTGCGCGCTTACGCGTGCATGGATATGAGTTATGTTCACGCACTCTCGTTCATTCGCATATACATATACATGTATGTATATATACGTGTGTGTATACGTACGCGTTACGTCGAATGCGTCATCCGCTGGATACGTCTGCGCGCCTGCAGCGCGTGCGAGGACACGGAAAGACGAGACGTTGCACTACCGGCGCCTGCGATGCGCGCCGGAGCGGGACAGACAAACGCGCTCCGGCGACGGGGACGGCAAACGGCGTATACTTGACGACCGTCTCGACAAGGTTACGCGAGACGAGAGAATGAGGGACAGACAAAGAGATAAGAGAGAGAAACAGAGAGAAGAGAGAGAGAGAGAGAGAGAGAGAGAGAGATAGAAAGAGAAAGATAAAGAAAACACGAGACGAAGAAACAACGTCTCTCGACGACGTGCAACGCGAGCGGCGTGCGTACGCGGACCGTCGTGCTCTTACCGCCGTGTTATCCGGAGTATTGACCGACTCTTCTCCGACACAGCGCGGCGCGGCGCGTCGCGAGCGAAAGAGAGGGGATGACCGCGGAGCAGGCGCCGTGAGGACGGCCGGTGAAGAGGAGAGCGAAACCAGGCATGCTTCATGTGTCGACTGCCTTGCACAAGCTGGTCTTACCGCTGCGCGCGCACGAATTTCGTACTTGTCCGGCCGCTCCGCGCTCCGGCCAACCGTTCGTCTAGCTAGCCAGCCGCCGGCCGGCGCAACACGGCTGTACGCGATGTGATACGGGACATCGAGAATCTATGTTTTATGAAATGCATATGTTTCACACATACAGCCGCATATACATATATGCGCGGACGACCCATGCGAATTAAAATCGAAAATGGATCGCGGCCATGAGAGCGGCTATGAGAGCGTCGTTAAACGCTCACACGCTTCACCAATGACAATTTGCATTGGCCGCTGCCGTTACATCGACACCTTATATCAACATAAATATTAATAGAAATACCGATATACTCTCTCTCTCTCTCTCTCTCAAAAACGAATGCTAATTGTCTACATGTCAAAACGTATCGACATTTAGATAAACAATTATATATAAATAATATAATTGGATGTAACAATTATATATAAATAATATAAAACACATGTTTATTTAGAAACGGAAGAGTTTGTGCATTATATAGAATTAAATTATACGCGAGCTACAGTTTGTTATGTTTCATTACTCGACATTGTTTTGCATAATTAATTTAAGATTATAAAGAATGCTGTACATATCTGCTTCGGTATTCTCGATTATTAATGAAAACGCATAAAACTCGCTCGCTAGTATGAAACTGTAAAATATAGTGCGCCTAGAGTCTCTTATAAACACAATTAATGTCGGAATAAAGTCAAAATGCGGCGTTAAATCTGCCGCATTCTTTCGGTTGGCTGAGAAATGAAAACTTGTATCGCGCTTAATATCGCGATAAGGGATCACCGATATCGTATGCCGACAATCTCGGTCATTGTTAAGAAAGAATTGTGTGGACGATGACGCGATACGGAACGCGTGTGCTTACGGGGAGAAAGAGAGAGTATTAGACTTTTTGTTAAGACATTTCCTCGCAGCCACGGTTGCGAATCTCTCTTTCTCTCTCATTCTCATTCAATGTTAGGGATCCATTTTTGCACTTCTTTTTTTATGCAAATGCGCACAATTGCCTGAGAGACACGCGGAAACAGAAACGGAATAATAATTGTCGGAAACGTAATCCGTCAGGCGGGACATATTTTTCAATATTCCAACTTGATATCTCGTCGACACAATAGATATGTCGTCTAGAAAAAAGTCAAGACACGAGAAGAAACAATCAGATCGACACGATATTGTTCTAACAATACCAAAACAATTTTCCGCATTTCATCACATTACGATTGATTCATCGTTAAAGTTACTTCGACACGTATTTTAAACATGCGCATGCGAATTATAACCAATGCCACAATGAACGTTCGGAACGCTTACGCGATCAATATTTTGAGGATTCTGTATTTCTAAAAGCGCTTCTCCTGACACGGATCTGCTTTCACATCTGAAAGATAGTAATCGTCGGGTGTCATTCAGCGTGACATTTAACCTCCGTGTGCGAAAAAGAGAATTTAAGTGACAAAAATGCTTTCTTCGTGACATTCCTTACGATTGTTTTCGTGTTCATTTACATAACTCATATCCTTTGGAAAATTACTTTTATAAATCTATTTTATATGTGAATGTATATATAATATTTTGTATATAATATTATATTTATAGAAATTTATCTTTTTAATTTAATTTTACATTTTTTTTAATCTCGATATTTTTATAGCTTTATATTACATTACTCTTCTATATTTCGACATTTCGTCATCTAAACTTAGTCATATATTTTACCACAGCTATTAATTAAATATGACGAGACTATCCCTTAATTGGCCTCATACGTTTAATTCTTCCTCTCTTTCTCGGAAACTAACTCTAAGGTACTAGCGGTTGCATAGCCCGCTTCTATTTAATCTCCATTTCTCATCACATTATCACATCACATTCAGCAAAGCTAAGCACGTAGGTACACATCCACTCGAGAACGAGTGCAGGTAAGGGACTAGATATATTTGAACTGGCACAAGCAGTTTGCTGGACCGAGCGATAGCAGTTAAGGGTTTAATACGTCATAAAGAGCTTACAATTTATAGCGGTAATTAATATAAAAAAAATTTATTCTTATCGAGAAGGAAATAAGAAAAAGAGAGAGAGAGAAAGAGAGATGCAAATATTTTTATATTAAAGTTTTTTTATGATTTCTTCCACACAATCGCGAATCAATTTACAATTACATAGCGATATTCGATCATGTAAAGCAAAATAAACATTTCTAAACATATTAAAGTCAAAACATATTAAACTTGATGCTTATATTTGACGATAATTTGATCAACTTTTTTCGAGATTGTCTTCCGAGACGCGAAAAACAGATAAGATGACATCGAAATAATTTTAACATTAAACACAAAATTTTTCAGTTTGATCTAAATGCGTTTTATATTTTATAGGATATTTCTCTACAAATTCGATTTTCCCTGCAATCCATGTTTCAACTCGCTGTAGAAATAGTATTAGTCGGAATCGACTTACGTTACGGAGTGCACAGTGAAATGAATTAAATGGACTATAAAGACGAGAAAGGGAGAAGGAGAATGAGAGAAAGATCGAGAGTCGACAGTTTTGTTTACTGTGTGTCGACCTGCATCTCTCGCATTGAAAGCACCAGGAGATCTTGCGTATCGACAGAATTTTCGACTCGACTATCTGCGACGGCAATGATGTTCGCAGTTACCCTCGTACGTGACCCTCGGAAATGGTCGTGTGTTCGGTACTCGGTACTTAGCGGGGTGCTTTTGTCTAATGGCGCGGCGGCATTATTGGCCAATTGCATAGAGGTACGCATGCACCGCAACGCTTGCTGCTCGTATCGCGGTCGAGTGGCGGTCCGGTGTTTATCAAGCGAGAATACTCAGAGCGTATGCTGATCGCTTCAATTTTCACGCGACCATAGGCATCGCGGTTCTATTATAAATAGCGCACGCGGAGTTAAGTGTATTAATATAATAAATCAGATAGCAGTTTACAGTTATACGTATATAATATTGATCGTTATATATACTTGTAATTGTATTAAATAAATTGCATGATTATCATTGTGCGCGACTGCAAATGAGTGGGTTACTTTACAAAATCCAGAGTATCGTACGGAGCAATAAAATATCGAGGATCGATCAGAAAGCGATTTTAAGACGTAGTTCGCTTTAAGTTTTCCAGATACTCTCTATCTAATCGAAACGCATTGAGCTTTGCATAATATATCGATGTGCTATCGTATGCAGCTGTAACGATTCGAGTGCTACAGAATACCATAATGGCCCGATTTACATTAATGGTCGAAATCCCTACGTGGAGTTCTATGGTACAACTTCTCAATCGATTTTTTTACCCGAACACAATACATGTAGACCACACAATAACTCTATTAGATTGCGTAAGATATTTTAAATAATTTTAATTTCATAAAAATTATATCAAAATCATATCACATAATAAATAAGTCAGTCGCGCAACGATATTTATTATGCTGTATTATATCTCAAAATTGATCTCGTAGTACTTTAAAAACGAAATATTTCAGCAGACTATAAATATGAGACTTTAATTTTCTTTAAGATTGACTATTATTATTAAAGTTTGAAATGTTATATCAATACGCGCTTTTCAACACACACATATATATATATATATATATATACTTCAACATATATATA